CCTTGGCAAGCGACTTTTGACCTACTTGGTGGTTCCCAGCCATCCTGGCTTTTTAGCATTTTGTAGCGGGAATTTCCATTTAACCCACACTGGGGGATCTGAGGACAGCCCAGTATTTCCTTCTATTTCTGGGGCGGTTGTCAAACAGATGGCCGGTTCCTTTTTGGACCCGTGAAAAGGTGCCGGCTGGTAGGTGCCGCTGTGAAAGGGCGATACCAAAAAGGACCTCCAATTGCGACACCCCCCCCGCTGCGCATTTGTTGATTCATTTCTGATGTTTGATCCGGCCAAGCACCACAATTGTGAGAAACGGGGGGGGGGGGGGGGGCATTTGTGACATCCTTGCAGGGATGGCCCGCCAGCTTTGGTATCACAGAAAGCCGGCTATGGGTTGTTTGTGTTTTATGTCTGTTTGTTGTGCGTTTCTTTGTGGCTTCGTGTGATTGGTTGTTTGTGTGATTGTCCAGTTGACCCCGAATTCACCCCCCTGAGTCACGGATCCGTCAACCCCTGGTTGGTGAATAGATCGTGGCAGTGTTCCACTTTTTGACTACCGGAGATAGACTTAAACCCAAGGGGTTCCCGTTTTGGGGGTAATGAACCATCCCTGGGTTTAAGTCTACCCTGGGGTAGTCAGAAAGTTCTAAAAATTATTTCCCCAACCATCGTTCTTTTCGAACAGCCGTTTCGAACAGCCGTTTCCCTCTGGGTTTCTCGAGGTTTTCTAGAAGGATCCCCGGAAAGAATGGGGGAGTTCCCCCTAAAGTCAAATCCTGGGTTCTGTTTTGCGAGTTTCCGGGCCTCACGGCCTCAGCTTGAGGAGAGACAAGCTGCAGACGCTGCGGGAGCAGCTGCAGCGCTCCAGGCAGCAAGCTGTGGAGCATCGCCGCGCGGAGCGGGAGCTGCCGCTTGAATCCGAGCGCGTGTCATCCGTAGTCTTGTGTTCGGATTTCTGAAAGGTGTGGCCAGTGTAGCTCTGCTGGTGGCAACAGACCAGCAACCCCAAATCAGTGCAACAGCAACCCCAAATGATGTGAAAGAGTTTTGCGAGTGGATCAAAGGAACCTGATGCCCATGATTTGAAGAGTGGTTGGACATGTTGGACATGATGTCCGCCAAGGGGTCCCCCAAAATATATACCGGAAATATACCGTTTTTGGATTGGTGCTAAGGGTTGTGAGATTGGTGGGGCACGGGGCCATAGGCGTTGCTCCCTCAAACCCGCGCAATCGGGTACATGTGAGCTCCAAGCTGTGAAAGCCCCAGTGGCTACACCGATGCCGAGGCTCAAACTGACACACACACAAAAATTCACGCACAACGTCTCTGTTTTCTGAATTGCCCCGCGCAACCACACACCTCCCCTCTTCCTCTCGCAAAGGTAAGAAAAGAAAGAGAAAGAGAGAGAGCGAGAGAGATACCAAATTGCATGAGAGCATGAATCGCGCACAAGCAAGCCTGATCCAGGGAATCAGGGCATGATCCACACATTGCAGTTTCAGAAGGTGTAAACAATCAATGTTGTCATTGGCCCACACGAGCTCTAGTTAACTAGCGGCCTTTCTTGAGCTTGGAGGCCTTTTGACTTCACCGCAAACAGCGGATGGGCGGGAACCCGTTTCCACGTGAATTGCGCGCATGTTCCCACTGTCCCGCAGTTGGTCGCCAGATGTGTAGACTGAGACTCCATGCTAGGGTGACTCGAAAGACTGCAGCTTGAGGAGAGCAGAGATCGAGCGTGCAAAGGCCACGTTTCACGAAGTGATCTCTGTTGAGTTGGAGGTGCAGCAGCTCGACAGTCGGTATGGGTGCCAGCGGCCATGGGCGGACGGTCTGGGTGTGTCGTTTTTTAGGTGGGGTTCCCCTTTTAGTTTCCCTTCAAAACCACAAACATGGGGCACCCTCAAAAAAGGACACACCCATGTATGAAGGTTTCCTACACACCTGTTCCAGGGCTCTGTGACGGAGAGTGATCTCGGGTTCATGGAACCTGAATGCAATCCTGTGCTGCCTTAGGCCAATTCTCAGGAGCCGGGATCCTCATAGAATCCTGGTGCTTTACCTGCTTGAATATGTCAACATGCGTGGCTTAGGCGAGCAATTCCGAATGGCGCAAGAAGCATGTGCAGCAGGCCGAAGTAGTGCAGGGCTGTTCCTTTGGCGCCGATGAGCTGTTTATGGCAAAGTAGAAATGTACCACGTTGGTTTGTGGAACCATGTTCTTGTGATGTTCAGGGCAAATCAGGTAATTTGACGTGAATCTTGTCGAGGGGACGGTTTGCAAGCGCACTTTGCCGTTATCAGCTAATCCATACAACAAAATTCTATGACCAGTAGCGCAAGAACATTTACGCCAGAACATTTTGCGTTACGTGACGTAAGTCCTTGGCCCACCTAGTTTGACATCACAATGCAATCATGTCCTTCATTCCAGCAACTGTGTCGGGTGACGCCCCTATCCTGTTCTACGTGAAAAAACAGGGCTGGATACTTGAAAGCAGTCATTTCCTCTACCTGACCCTTGAAAGCGTGCGCAAGATTTTGAAGCAACGTCAAGGCGTGACAGTTTTTGGTTTCCCAAATACTCATGCTTCGCGGGACACACATCGAGCACCTCAGCTTCGGCCCTTTATGATCCTTCGTGGACATGTAAAGCCTTCCTCCTTGGCATGCTGTAACTGGAATGGCCTAGGGCAGCTGTCCGCAACGAGATCGGCCAGCTGCGGCAAGTGGTGCAGGAGCGGTCGTTTCACTTTTGGGCCCCTCGATCTGAGTTCGAAGCAGCTTCGCGGCTTCGCGCCAGGATCTTGCAGCTCGAATTGAGACCAAGATGGATGAAATCTCTCGCCTGGAGCAAGCCAACGAATGGGCAGCTGCGGAGGCCCTTCGATGAGCCGGCGATTGGCGGAAGGTCAGACGCTATGTGCCGCAGAAGCTCCCTGGAAGATGAAAACTGTTTGTTCTTCCTGTTTCAACACTGTTTTGTCCCACGATATGATGGATAGCCCATTCAAAGCCCAATGCTGAGCCTCGCAGTGGCCTTGTGATATAGGCCGTGGGGTCGCGAGCGGGCTCAACTGCTTGTTTGCGACTTAAGTGGTCATATGCAACTCTTTGATATGGCCATAAGATTCCGATTGATATCAAGACGTTTGTGTGTGTGTATGTGCTTGCTTGCTTGCTTGCTTGTTTTGCTTGGCTTGGCTTGGCTTGGCTTGGCTTGGCTTGGCTTGCTTGCTTTGCTTTGCTTGCTTTGCTTGCCTTGCTTTGCTTGCCTTGCTTTGCTTGCCTTGCTTGCTTTGCTTGTTTGCTTGCTTTGCCTTGCCTTGCCTTGCCTTGCTTTGCTTTGCTTTGCTTGCTTGCTTGCTTTGCCTGCTTGCTTTGCTTTGCTTGCTTGCTTTGCTTGCTTGCTTGGTTTGCTGGCTTTGCTCGCTTGCTTGCTTTTCTTCCTTTCTTCCTTTCTTCCTTTCTTCCTTTCTTCCTTTCTTTCTTGCTTGCCTTCTTTGTTTGTTTGTTTTGTTTCTTGGTTTCTTGGTTTCTGGTCTTTGTTGGTTTCTTTGTTTCTTGATTTACCTGGAAGCGGACAAGGTCCCAAAGAGCCAAACCTTCCCATCCCTTTCCGTCAGCTTCCATGGAGGGAGGGTGCCAGCGCTGCTTCCATTGTAGCCCTGTGTTACGTGGCAGGTGTCCAGCGCTGCGCAGCGCTGGCGTGAGACGTGCCTCGAACGGCGGCGCCTGCTGCGGAGCGGCGAGGCCTCGCTGCAGCGCCCTGCCTCCGTTCGGTCGCTGGCGGGGTGGCGGGGCTCGTGTGGCGGGGTCGTTTCTTTTTGCTGGAGACCTGCCCGTTTTGGGCGTTTTTTTAGGAGGAAAAGGGCAGGCATGGTTTTGACAGTCTTGGGGTGTGCTTCTCTTGCGAACATGCCCATATGGTGGTTTTGCGCAGACGAGCTGAACATGTTACTTGGAATGCAGATATTTAAGTTTTGTGGGAAGCGCCATAACTGCAAGGCATTCGGAGAGTAAGTAAAGCAGACATTTTGACGGTGGCTCAAAAGCGCACAGTTAGCGTTTCCACTTGTTGCATTCTGGCTCAGCTGTGGCAGATATTCTATTGTGGAACTTTGCATTGGCGGGTTTGGATATTTGATGGGTTCAACTCTCCAAGGGTCAGAGGATCATAGCATCCGCACCTTGTTTTGGGTGCTGAAGCGCATCCACTTCTCAATGGGGCCAGGGATCCCAGCGTTGCCAGCAGGCAATATTTCTGGGTAAGCTGTGCGGTCGGCATTGTTCTCGGCATCTCGCCTCAGCGGAGATCGTGGCTTGGGTTTCCCAGGCTCAAGCGCTTCCTCCCGCACTTTCCAACAGCGAACGTGGGTTTTGCTCGAAGATTCAGATGGTCCGAGCCAGACTTTGTTGCAGCACACTGGGAGTCTTGCAGACAGGCACGGGTTCCAGTCATTGCTGAGGTTGCCGCTGGAACAGAGCTCCTCGCAACTTGGCTGATGAAGAGAGCCAAGAGGGAGAGAGAGACAGACAGAGAGGCAGAGAGAGGGGGAGAGAGACAGAGGGAGAGACACGCGGAGGGAGGTAGAGAGAGAGAGAGAGAGATGGAGAGACAGAGAGACACAGAGAGAGATGGAGAGATGGAGAGAGAAAGAGAGAGAGAGAGAGAGGGGGAAAGAGGGAGAGGAAGAGAGGGGGAGGGGGAGGGGAAAGGGAGGGAGCGAGCCAGAGCCAGTGTTGGCACAAATCTGCGGGGTAGTGGGCCCAACAACGGTGTCAATGCCATGTTTCCGCAGGATACGCTCCCCATGCGTGATAATACAACGCTCGCAAGAAACATTCATTGACAGGTATACGCGAATGCGATAGTCCGGTGGAACAAGAACGCAGTCTGGAGGATGCTAGAAGAAATACGATGTTGCTTCAAGCGACTGTCTCGCCAAAAGCGCACGAATCCCAAAAGATCAATCCATGGCTCCTTTCCCGAAGCAAAAACCGAGGACAAGGCCGAGCGATCCGCAAGAAGCCGACGCCTTAAGGCAGGGAATGGGGGTGTGTGTTATTTGTTTGGTTGGGGCGAATGGTTGCCAGTTGGAGAATGCATTTGGGCAACATGTTAAGGGTGGAAGACAAAATGAGCCCAAGCACAAGGGGGATCCTTGATAAGAAAGGTTCGGCCGCGAAAAGAAGGAAGGAGAGAGTCAGAAGGCTTTGGTCTTTAGCCCGTTCAGGCTTCTGGGCTTCTGCTTGGGTGCCTTGCGGCTGACTGGAGAGTCAATGCAGCAAAAAGGCACTGCGCGGAGGGGCGGAGTCGGGCAGATATCGTGCTTCCGGCAAGGACAGATTGAGCGCACGTTTGCCTCAAGAGGGGTTGGCAAACATGAAGGCCATTGTCAAGACTGATTCTTTGCTTAAGATGAAGAAGGATAAGAAGGGATGATGCCAGCCAGACACGAGGTCCGCTCTTTTCCTGAAGGCCGGGGACCAAGACTGTCAAATATATTGGTGTGGCTTTTTTAGGGTTCCCTTAGAATTGAAATTTATGTTGGTTTCCTTTAAAACCACGCAACAGGGGACCTCCAAAAAAGGCACGCCCACACGTGGCCAGCCAGGACACTTGCGCAAGGCTCTACGCAAAGCATATCAGGTGGACATAGATTCTGAGCCAACCACTCACGAGCCTCGTGTTGATTGTGACAGAGCTCCTTCGCGCTTCTCGCATGTCCTGCCATCCCAGGAGAATGTATTTCGTGGGTATGTCGCATCCCCAGTGTCGGCGGGCGCCCGCAGATTTGCCGTCAAAAAGCAAAGCTCGTTCTGGAGGACTCGGGCATTATTGCCTATCATTTGGCTTTTCATCCATGGCAAAGCCTTTCAATTGCTGTGTGCGGTAAGTTACAAATACGAGTCTACCTGCTGCCCTTCCCGAGATCCTGTTTATGCAAGATGTTCAAAGCGTTGTGGGCAACGTGCTGAAGAAAGCCTCCAGCATGGGGAAACAGCTGAAGTCATGCATCTATAGCCACAAGCCAGAAACTCAGAAAGGCAGAGAACACGTAGCAGAGGAGAAGTGTATGCGAAAGGCACAGTTGTTCCCAGAAACAAAGCCGCATCGGAGCCACAATCCTGGTTAGATGAAAGGCCAGTCCCAACCAGAAATGGGCGCGGACCTTCTGATTCTCCTTTTCCATGACATGGTTTTGGGTAGGCCCAGGCTTCGGTTGTGACGCATTGGGAATGGAGCTCAGAACACTTTTGAAGGGCTGCCTAGCGAATGGACCCACAATCATCAGCCCATGGTTTCCAAAGCGTGTGGCTTTTCTGCCATGACGAAGGAGCAAGCCACTCAGCCGACGCTCGTTTTGTGGAGCGTTCTTCGCACAAACGACAGTGTTTGAAGATTTTCATGCACCAAGGCATCAACAGGGCATTCTACGGTGAGCCAGTACATGGTGCCTTGGCATGAGTCATTCAGGACGTGCTCAACAAGCTGAAGGGTTTTATGTCAGGCTGAGAGCTGCACATGTCAGTTCGTGCCCACGCCAGAGAATTCGCCTGAAAGTGCACAGTTCTACACCATTGCAACATGACAAGCTCTTTGCTGCTTGACGTACGTCCACTTCGGTGCTGTCAGCCGCAGGTGCCAACCCTACGGACGCACGCAGTGCACGTGCACAGTCGGGGACACAGCCTGAAAAAACTGGTTCTTGGAGATAAAACCCCCAGTGGAAAGTGTCCGCCAAGGGATGCTGAATCAAGGTTCATGCGCATTTAAGAGATGCTTGCGCAGAAGCGATTCAGAAGTTGGCTTTGCACCAAAAGTTGTTTTCAAATTTGTTGAGATAAGTTATTGGATGGTAGTGAGAGGGGGGAAGACCATGGAAGACTCATGGTAGTTTGCAAGCATTAAGCAATGAAGGCCATGAATGCGGTTTCCAATTCACAAATCATTCAAAAGCCCCATGGCTTGCAATGCGTGCTCGCGATTGCGTTAAAGGTGATACGCACGTTTGCTTCTCAGACACCTCGACGTGGCGCTAGCCTCAGTGACTGCTGCCTTGCTGATTTTATCCCAGAAATGGTAGAAGTTTGGAGTCCAGCGGACGCTTTGCAGAGATTGGGTGTGTTCTTTCTGTTGGTCCCCTTTGTGGTTGGCTTCAAAGGAAAATTAAAAGAAAAAGTTTAAAATGGGTCCCCCTATTTGGGGACACACCCATTCAGATATTGCAGCACATGTCTCTCATTTGTTGGTCACTGTGTTGGGAAATTGGCCCAGGCCCGAGATGCTGAAAAGTTTTTGCTGCGAGAACTATGGTACCGGCGAAGGCCTGCAAATTGCGTGACATCAGAGGGTGTGCCAGCTCATTGTTGACCTATAGCTGACTTGAAAGACCCTGTTTTTCTGTGAATACTGCCATCTGTGGCAGGGGGACGACATTTAGTACACTTATTCGCACCATGTCACAACCTCAAGTGGCGGTGAAGATGCAGCAAAGAAGTATTTTCTGCACGTTTTATTTGGGTGTGTCTTTGTAAGGGAACCCCTTTTTACTGGTATTGAAAGGGAAACAAAGGGAAGCCAGGCAGTTTAGGGGTCCCCTACTTGAAGACACACCCATGTATGTGTTTGGAACCGTTGCAGTGCAGGATGTGCTCACCAGCACAGTGGCGACCTTACAGGTGGCTATGAATTAGAATTGATTGTTGGACATAAATCCAATCCAAATTTGATGTCCACGTTCCCCATTCAAATTGACACCCAGGTATATCAAAAGGCGGCGTGTGTTGAGAGCCTCTCTGGGTTTGCCAGACTTGAAAACTATGTTTTGGCCACTTCTTATCATCCCGTCCCACCGACAACCGTTGGGTGAGGACAAGGGCGTGTCTTCGGCGCCAGGATAGAACATGCTTATACTCCTGCTTCTCCCACTTGCGCATGCAATAGCTAGAAACACAGATGATAGCCCGCCGTCAAACGACTTGGCACGGACATTCGTGAATTGTCAAGTATCATTGAAGATGTGACCAAAACGAGATGCCCTCAGCGCAAGTTACATTGAACTCATTGCGTGGAGGAACTTGCGATTTGATGTATGTTGATCAGCACTGAGGTGACTTCAAGCTCAAGACGGCGCACCACAAATATGCTCCCTGGCGGAAAACTGCATGGCTCTGTCGACGTCCCCTTTGTGCCTATCGATGGCTGATTTTTGAGGCACGTTTTGGCCGAGGCATGCGACTCCGTGAAGACTTCGCTGGGGCCTTTGGCTGATGGAAGATTTCCCGTGGCCAAATGAGCTGTGCTTTCTTTCGGGCACCGAACGTATTTTTAGGAGCCATCCTTGGGCACAAGTTCAGTTTGAATCGCGAGGTTTTCCACTGGCTTGGACCTGATTGCTTCAGTTGCACAGGTCGTGGGACCCGATGCACAGTGAGTACTGCTGCGAGAACTACCGCGGCTCGGAATGCAGAGCATACGAAGCAAGCTTGCTTGACGCCACATTGGTTGACTGCAGGTATTGGCTGTGATCAGATTCACAAGCGGGCACAAGCCCATGTGGATGGTCATCACCCCGCTCATCACTATCACCTCCGCGCATACCGTGCCCACACAGCCTATCAGTCGTCGACGATTGTCCATCCATACCATACCTACCACACTGTCGAGACGTTCAGGCCCAGTGATGGTCACTACTACCACAACCACTACGGTTACGACCCTCTTTATTTTGGCGCTCACCAGACACCGCATGACGAGCATGTCGTATTTGATGAAGGCAGGATCGCGCCACGCTGCGGAAACACCGAGCCACCATTGCTTGATGATCAAAACATCATCCATGACATGACTCTGAAGTGTAATGGCGGAAAACACCCTGAATCATGAGTGGTGGACACAAACAAAGTGCTTGTTAAGTGTTTGTTGTGATGTCCACCAAAGGGTTTGATCTGTATGGGTCATACTCAAAGACTTCACCCAACCTTGGAAACAGGTGCTACCATTCCTGCCCGCTATCCCGCTGTGCTCCCTGACACTGGATATCATTCTTTTGGAGAACCCGACCTTGTCTTTGGACATGGACATCAGGCGCGGGAGACGAATTGTTGGAAGTCTTCCTTATTCAAGAAGTCGCTTTCTTTCATGGGAGGCCCTCCCTGGTGACAGCTGCCCTGGCCTCAGTGCCTGGAGACTTCATTGATAGTGGTTGGTAGAGGCATTGATTGGATGAGTGGGCCTGTCAAATGCGAGATAGTGAGAGATGGTTTGTTTAGTCTTGCCTTGCCCACGTTTAGCCAACGCTTGCAGGGGAAGCTGCACCAGCGGAAGTGGAGAATGTGCCCTCGGATACTGAAGCCTTCGAGACAGGTGAGCCCCAGGTGATCGATGCAGATGCAGAGGGAGAGATGGCGGAGGTGGAGCCAGAGGCTGCGGCAGAGACGGCGGGAGAGATGGCAGAGGTGGAGCCGGGGGCTGCGGCAGAGACAATGGAAGAGACGGCGGAGGCGGAGCCAGAGGCGGAGCCAGAGGCTGCGGCAGAGACGGCGGGAGAGATGGCGGAGGCTGCGGCAGAGACGGCGGGAGAGGCGGGAGAGGTGGAGCCGGAGGCTGCGGCAGAGACGGCGGGAGAGATGGCAGAGGTGGAGCCAGAGGCTGCGGCACAAACAGAGGCGGAGCCGGAGGCCGCGGCAGAGACGGCGGGAGGGGCGGAGGTGGAGCCGGAGGCTGCAGCAGAGACGGCGGAGGAGCCGGAGGCTGCGGCACAGACAGAGGCAACGACTTCTGATGAGGCGAATTCAATTCAGGTAGCTTCTGCAGATTCCGAGTCCACAGAGGCCAATGGGGCCCAGAAATGAATTTAGCCCCACGACATGCCGACTTGCCAGGGATGGAGTCATGCTAGGACACAAGTCGCCAGCAGTCACTGGATGATGCCAGCCTGCCATTGAGGCTCAGTGCTCTCGAAACTGGGACTTGGGTTGATACTCCAAAACATATAGACGATTGTTTGTGAAGTCTGAGAAATCGAAATCGTCTAATCAGGTTGTTGCGTTTGCGTCAAATCAGATCAACCTTTGCATCTGAATCATTGGTAGATGTATTTTTGTTGCTGGCTCGGCCAGGAATTTGAAGTCGCGCACCAACTCCAGAATGTGATTGGTGCCGGCGTGCAAACTGCAAAAGCAAAGTGACTGGCAAAGCCATCATTGCATGCTGGGCCAAGCAGGTCACGAACAACAAGCGACATTCAACCTTTCCAAGTTGCAAGACCAGGTCCTGCTTGACACCATAATTTGCACGACAATACTGCCTGATGACCCAGCATTGAAATTGCAATGGGTCATTGGGTGAATGACGTCGCACAAATGCGATGTGGTTTGTTCCTTGCTTTGGCAACCCTAACATTGCATGGGAAAATCGAATAGAGTGTTTTGGTGTTTTTCCCCGAGTTGGTTACTTCGTGATGGTGTGTTATGTTTCTCTCTTGCATTACATAGGCTAGCCATAAATAAAGGCTAATATAAAATAATTGGTCGAAATATAATATATATCTATATTAATATATTTATTCGATTTATGAATAATTAGTTGATGAATATTGATAATATATTGGGTTAAGAAACATTAATATTGAAAAATATATATATATTATAATATTATAATATTTATTTGATATATAATAAAATATTAAAAACCGAATATTATTAACCATTTAATATTATATATATATATAATTATAAATAAATATGAATAATTAATTATTGATATATAATTATTTGTAACTAATATATTAAGATATATAGGGGAAACATAATATGAATTAATAATTAAATGGAAATATATTAAATTTAAAAAATAAATACATTAAGGAAACTTAACATATAGATTAGTAAAGATTGATAAATAATATATAGATATATTTAAATTGGAAATAATTTAATTATATATAGATATAGATTAAACATATAAGTTGAATATATAGAGTATTGGGATATAATTTATTAGAAATAAAAGGGGGAGAAAGAGAAAGAAATAATGAGAAAAAAAAATAAAAGGAGAAAATGGAAAGAAAAAAAAGGAGAAAAAAGAGGGGGAAATAATAATGAGAAAAAGAAAGAATTAAATAAAGAGAAAGAGGAAAAAGAAAAGGAAAAAAACAAGAAAGAGAAAAGGAAAACAAGAGAAAGGAAAAGGGAGAGAAAGAAAGAAATAGAGAAAGAAAGAATAAAAGAGAAAGAAAAAGAAAGAGAAATAAAAAAAGAGATTGCCTTGTTTTGTATTTTGTGGATGATAAAGCGGTATTAAGGAAAGAGAGAGAATGAGAGAGTAAGAAAGAAAGAGAAAGAACAATAGAGAGAAATAAAATAAAAAAAAAAGAGATAGAGAAAGAAAGAAAAAGACAAAGAAAAAGAATGAAAGAAGAAAACAAAAAGAGAACAACGGTGATTTTACTTATTATGGAATGATATAAATTCATTGTAAATATTGGTGTAATTAATTTTTAGATAGACGAATTTTTTAAAAGGTTTATTAAAAAGAAATGATATTGCTTAATAAGGATTACATTAGTATAATTCTTTAATTACAATATATTTGTATATGGATTTTCGTTTGGCATAAACATTAAGATGTAGGGCCATTATTAGTATTACAATGTTACTCGTAATTTTGCAATTTCGTAATATATAATTATTTTATTAGAATAATAAATAGATGCTACGACTCTATATTATTATACTTATATAACGCTATAATCTATCACGAAGCTATTTAGGATTAGCATGGAATTTGGCTTGTAGGAAGTAGTATAATCCTGGCTGTTAGACGACCATAATACGATTTAGAAAATCGATATATAATATTTAATTTAATAATATTAATTATATATAATTTAAATTCTATTTATTCTAAAGAAATATGTATAGTACAAATTATATTGTGTTGATGATGTCCAATTGGCATTTGTGTATGTGTTAATATTAAATGGAGTTCGTTTATCTTGTGTTTCTATGATTAGTCATAGATTAGGTCGTATATATATTTTACATTTAAATTTCTTGTTATCAAATCGGTGTTTATATTGATTTTGCTTACTCTTTTGCTATTATATATTGTTAATAAGCTGCTGATATTGTTTGTATTATTCGTAATCTAGTAGTATTTTATCTTCTGTTATACTTTTTATAGGTGATATTCTGAGTGATAGTATTGGATTATATATATAATTATTCTTGATTCCTTTAAGATAATATTAAGATAATTGTTGTTTAAGATGATATTAAGATTATTGTCTTTGTATACGATGTTTTTACTAAGGAAATATATTATTAATCTTATTGTTAAATCGTTTTTTTAATCCTGCTAAAGAGTGTGTTAATAATGCATTGCATTTTTCTAAAGAAGGGATTGTCTTTATATATCGTAATATAGACTTAATTTTTTATCCTTGTAAATATGTTTGTTATATATCTTATAGTTTCAAATTTCATTGTAAGAATATATATTATATAGTCTTATTAGTGTTTTAATAATAATCATAAATTTTTAAATGGTTCTATTTTAATCGTCGTATTGTAAAAATTCATTGTTGTAATATTCATGTCGTGGTTGTGTTATTAGATTATAAGAAATTATTGACTATTACATTAATTAATTATATACTAATACTATTACGAGAAGTATTTTTAATATGCAGAATAACAATATATGTGTGAAAAATATATTATAGTCTGTGATGAGTTCTGTGTAACCTTTTGTTATTATATATACTCGTATTTCGTTATATTTCTTTTTAAAAACCTATTTTAGCTCGATAATGTTTGTTTGGTGTTCTAGTGTTATTATATTGTCATTAATCTCTATAAAAATTAATTAATCGCATATTTATTATGGTTTTCTTTATTTTTTATATTATTTATTGCGGATTAAAGCCTTTTACGTCGTGTTTAATTAGTTCTAATAGGATCTTTTCATTGTCGATTTCTTCTATGTTTTTATTGGATATTATCTCCCTTTATTTATTATCCTTTGTTATGAATTTGATAGTATTTATCTTCATTTTGCCTTTTGCTTATTCGGCTGTTGCAAATCGCTCTAGCGCGTATCTCTTTATTATAATGCGCTATCGCTTGCCTGGCAGCGCTGGTCGCTTTGGATGTATTAGTGATGTAGGCATTAGTGATATTAGCTCTGTTATTATTTTGTTTTGTATTATTTAACCGTTTGTTTGTGCTGCGCTCTATCTCTTACCTTCTGCTGCTGTGCTCGTTGTTGTGTTTTTTCGTGATGGTGGTGCCTTACTTGTAGCTGGCATTGTTCATGGTGTTGTAAAAATCGGTGTAAATAGTGTTAATGCTAATGTCTTCTATAAATATATATATATATATTCCAATAAATATTAATTGTGTTTATGAGATATTATTTACCTTCTAACTCTAATCATCTTATCATAAATCCCAATAAAGGATTTACCTGTAGTTATTTTTTCGTTAAGCTAGATCCCGTTATAGAATTTCGGCTCGAATTTTGGAAATTGCTTTATTGTTAGTAATATATATATATATATTGCACTATCTCACCAAAATCGTAAAACACCATACATAACGTATACAGTTATTAAAATAACCGGTTAAAAGCCGTAAAGAAGCAATGTTTAAAAAATGCAAATCGTTACACACATCATGCAACGCTTTCTAGTAAGGAATATTGCTTTCCGTTCCATCTATTAAAGTAGCTTATATATCCATTATTATGAACTACATACCTATTCATAATGTATACACTATATCGAATTATCTAAGGCATAAATGGATATTTCATTAACATATGTTTGCAATTTAATATATGCTTTAATTATTCTAATTTGTCTAATCGCTTATGCTAAGTACTCGTTCTACTCCATCTTTTGATTGTGAGCTGTGTGCTCCAGAGTTCCTTGTAGTAACGTTACTATTTTTATTGCCCATTACTATGATAAACACAATTAGGAAATCTTCCTAATGTAGTATAGTGTATAATATCCTTCTATATTCAATAAGGAAGTGTTATAGCTGCAGAATCGAAGAATATCCTTTTATCGGTTAATTTTAGTGCCATCATCATCCTAGATCGGATGCCAATTGCTATGAAAATCGGATGTGCGTGATTGTTCTCAAAGCTTTTGATATAGTCGAAATCAAGCTATATAACTGGAAGCTTGTTGCGCTGCTTTGGGTGTTTATTTTGTCTGCCTCTCGTTTATATGCATATTGGTTACTAATTCCTATAAGGGAGGTGTATTACGTTGTGCTCGAGTATCTCTTGTGGTATTAGTTACTTAGGTGTTTATGTTGCCTTTGCCTTTGTGCTTTGCTATTATTCCTCATCATCTAACTCGAGTTACGATAGAAACTCTACTGTTCCTCAAAATTTATCCAGCCTGTCCATGGCTTATCTAATGTTTTTGTTAGCTGTGTTCTCTATTCATGCTCTACAAATTTTGTTTTATATTCTACAAATAGTTATAATTTAGTTTGTTTCCAAGGTATAAATCACTTAATTGGTATATAAAATGTTGTTCGAGGCTCAACATATACTCTCTTCCAGTATGGGCCATCTCTGCACCAGTGGTCTCCTCCAGGTTTATTTTTGAAGGATAGGAAGTCCATGTCTAGTTATACCTTTGGTGGTATATGGTGTAGTGTTAGTGGTATTATTTTCTTTCTCAATCGCATTCATAAATTGTATTGGATTATTTATAGTACGACTTTCTTTAGCTCGCTCCTTAGTTGTATATTTGTTGCAAATTGTTACCGTAGTGTTTCTAGCAATATTATGTCTTTTTCGATCTTGAATGCTACTTCTCCTTTCCATATCTGTTGTTATACTCTATTTGGCATTTCCATTAATTAATACTTATCCTCAAATGTATTCGTTATACCATCCTTGAGTTTAATAGTTGTTTTCCTGTAATCTTTAAGTTATTCTGTTAGGATTGGACACTATATTCTTGATGG